CCAAAGAAAAAAACAACCCCACCAACCTATCAAAGTAATGTGGCTCTCTCTTGGAGGTGACCACGTCAGGGTGAAGGCCGATGAACCGCAGCAGGGCCCGCGTCCCCGCTTTACGAGCCCCGATCACTATGGCAACGGGGAGGCGTCGCTGCATGACGCGCCTGCGGGCAGCTGCCAGACTGCTCTTGTCCGAGGACTTGGGTAGAGGAACGGCCGACGGAGCTGGGGAACCTTTACCTGCAACGAATTGTTTGTTTGTTTGAGTAAAGAGAAGCTCATGAACATGATAATGGCCATTTAGTGCGGGGGAAATGTAAGACAGACAGAAACAATAATATATAATAGATCGCAATTGTATAGCGTTAATTCCCGCTCAACAGCATGCTCTATGCGCTTCACGATTTACATTATTACCCCAGCAGACCAGCTATCATTCTGAAACAATCTCAATTTCCTGGGAAGCATGCGCTGCCATTTTTATTGGCGCTAAATAGCAGAGGGACAGTAAAGAAGTAGGTCCCACCAGTGGCGCCCTGTAGCCACCCGCACCTGAAAGGAAGTATGGTCGGAAAGTGTAAAACGGCCCGGCCACCCATTTTCGAGAAAGAAAGTGGCCATCTTAAATAGAGTCGTGAACAGAGTCACTATCATGTAAAAAGTATGCAAAGGAGGAAATAGGAAGTGGCCATTTGTATAAAATATCGATTTTCAACTTTTTACATTTTCGGGTACCTGAATATCTTAGGAACCGATACCCCCTGATCTCCATTTGAAAATATTTGTAAAAATCGTTTTTACTGGTCATTTCTTTTAGGGTACCTTCCTCAAAGTAAGGGCCATTTTTCATCAAATTTGCCCAAAATGAGCCCATAATTAGACGATGACGACAACAACGTGTCTCAGCGTGACCCTAAAATGTTTAGTATCGTTGTAACCGCAAGCACCTTCTCTTCCAAACCGTGAAAAAATCAAGAATGATGTGTTTCTGACAGTTTAGTTATGATGCAGGACACATGACGCCCCATTTTGTAAATCTTAAGTTTGTCTTGGACAGAATCTCGATATCTAACTCTGTTTGGATGTGTGCCTCGTAGTGTCGATGGGTACTTCAGGTCAAACTTCATTGTATTGACTTTTTCCAGTTGTATTTGGTGTAGTGATGTCCCCAAAACGTTGAGTTCGTTCAAACCTACAAATGTTCGCTTCGCTGTAACGACGTTTTCAAAATTTGGAGCGTAATTTCTGCGTAGATTTTTATAGAGCAAAGCCCTAGATCTAGATCTCTATAATATCCCAGGCCCAGATGTTTTTGGAGCACAGAATTGAAGACTGATTTGGAGCAGTTAGGAAGAAGATGTCAATATAGATCGAGACCTGTTCGGAGTAAAGCTTCCCATGGAATATTAGTTAATAATGTAGTAAGATGAACCCTAAACGTCGAGTTTGTTTAACCCCACGAAACAGAGGTGAACACGAGATGAAACGGAGAAAGGCGACTACTAATCAGAATTTACGTTCTAATAGTTAAAACCTGCAAGAAGACCTACATCACCGTTCGTAGAACGGGTCTGCATCTTGTATATTTTAAAAAGAAAAAAACCCATCTCTCAACCTACGCAAATTTTATCCTGAAAATTCCACCTGTTGAGAAATGTACTTCAGTGTTTAGATGTGTTTCTCTTATCGCTTTATTATTCTCAATGAAGTATGACTGATTGCACAGTTTCAAGTTTTGAGGTAACCTATTCCCCCCTTTCCTTGTGTTATTCTCTTGAATTATATGGTATTATGTCATTATTCCAAACTGCATTCTTATTTCATTTTACAAAGTTCTATTCCAAACTCGGTAATCAATATAGTGCAGTGGTAGATACTGAAAAGGACGAACATTGCTTTGATCTCTCTGCGGTTGTAACAATGAGAACGCATTTTTCCTTGTTGCGTTTTTTTCTTCTTTCGTTTTCTCTAAAACGCGATATTTTTCGGGGTATGGGGTTTTAGTGCTGCGATACTTCGGAGCCTGTTTATAGGATTCCCTTGAAAATTGTCCTCAGTGTTGGCAACTGGCGTAGTTGCAACCTGTTAGAGGTTGCTTTTTTTAATTTATGGAATATTTTTCATATTTCTACGTTCTTATGCCTCAGACGGAGTGATTTTAAGGAAAACTTCGGTGTTTTACCAAGTCATACGTTAAAATCCGGGATATCTCGCTTATTATAAACGATATCAAAACAATCCTCTTTCAGGTTGCAACTACCTATATTGACTTTACTTTGTGAAAATATTAACTCTGTAGGACTATAGATAAGAAAATTACGCCAGCACTAAAATAACGCTTTATATGGGGTGGTGATAGCCTAACGTGTAAAAATTTGCCAAGAGCGCAGAACTTAAGTACATCTGACTTCCCGAATAACGTACAAGACACCCAAAGTCATATAAAATGCCCTTAAATGATTGCTAAATCTGTGCATAACGGATTTTGAAAAAAAAGCATGCATGTCTTCCTTTAAAAAAACACCAAAAATAATAAAGGTACTGATAGACACAAAAAGTCATTTTGAAAGCACAGTGGTTAGCGGAAAGGAGAAAGACAGAAAAATAACAATGATACACTAAGGTAAATATTTCATTTTCACATTTGAACATGAATATTCATGATTGTCGCTCCATTATGATAGAGGGCGTACCCACCACTGTTGTGCAGTGGGTCTGTTTCAGCCGGGAAAAAACCCAGTGAAAGTCAAACCACTTAAAAGGGAGAGGGTGATATTTATGTAAAAAACAACAACAAAGAATAACACCAAATAATACATAAACTAAAAGGCTGTATTTATATATCAGAAAAAAACCAAACAAACACTAAGCAATAAAATGCCGCAGGACGGCAAAAATATGCCTCTCCTGGGAGCAATTAAAAGATAGCAATCGTGGTCCAAGTAAAACAGACTCAGAATAACATGCCTTGTGATACATAAATGAAGCCCAGGCCGCCCCTCTCCCTCTTCTCTTCCCCCCTCCCACCCATCCCCTCTCTCTCTCTTTCTTTCTGTGTGTGTGCGTCTCTCTCTCTGTGTCTCTGTCTCTAGTAGTGTGTCTCTCCCTCTGTCTCTCCCTCTGTCTGTCTGTCTGTCTGTCTGTCTGTCTGTCTGTCTGTCTGTCTGTCTCACGTCAGTTTTGTTTGCTTTTTTAAAAATGGTAAATTTTGTTTTTTGCATCTGCTTTATGTGTTTGTTTGTTTGGCTGGTTTGT